GTCCCTTGCACAACCAGCATCCAGGAATCTGATATATACATGTATGAGGACGGGGGGGGGGTCAGGTCTAACATTTAATAAAACACATGAAATGATATATTAATATAGCAATGTTGGATTTTCTCACAGGACTCGCTTATTCAGTTTTACTAACTTCTGTGATTTATCAATGAAAATAGTTGGACCACAGAACAACAGTAATGAAGATGTTATAAAGTCTGGTGATTGTTTGGTTTTTGGTTAGTCCGTCTTTATTCAATACCACAGGAAAACAACTGAACTCCTGACTATGGGAACATATCAGTTATATGTAAAGTGTTTAATTTAGTATTTTAATTAAAATAGTGTTCACATTAACYAGGATATTTCCTTACTTTGTGTGGAGGAATAAAAATGGGTACCACTTTACAATAAGGCTCCCCTTATAGACGGCTTATGAACAGTTTATAGATTATAGATAATTAATAAGTGTTTATTATGCATTAATTAAGGATGAGAAAGAATTAAAACTGTCCTGTTTCTTGCCGAATGGTGAGCCAAATATGTCCATGTACATATTACGTCTAAAGTGCTATATTAAACATTTCAGACTAGGTTACTACCTTAGCACAATAATGATTTGGAAACATGTATTTTACATAAAATATTGTACTGTATTACTGCATTATACATATCCACAACTATCAAAGGGAGCCTTATTGTAAAGTGTAAGACAGTAAACAATTTATTAATGACTAATAAACCTGTATAATGTCATAAGGGAGCCTTATTAATAMGGTACTGTTTTACACTTTACAATAAGTACATAAGATTCAGGCCCATTTTAAGTAAATACTCTGTTCATWGTGGATTAAGTCTTTTATATATTGAATTCTTTTCATTATGTTTTTCCAACTTGAAACCTAATAGAGTAATATCCTGTTTTGATATATTTTGTAAATATGTCCAAGCTTAATAATGTGGGAGAAATCCACAATTTTCTGTTTCTGTTTCAGTCAGTGTTTAAAACAGCAGGCACAATTGTTAAATACTGTATATCTCAGTGTACTTCCTTTCTTTAATTCAGCATGTAAAAAACAATCCCTTCATGTTATAKAAAGACCCTTGATTCAAGATAAATGTCAGGTTTCCTCTTATAAATTAATCATTAGTCATTCGATAAGATCAATCAACTTTAGATTAATTCATTAATCRATAACTTGCATCCCTAATTCAAACGCAAACTGCTACTTTACAATAACTCTCCAAAACGGCTCACTATAATCGACTTTTGTCTTTTATTGTGCAATTGTGTTTCTTTCACAAAATCATGCAACACCAGCTCCAGAAGACCGAGTCTATGCAGAACAAAGTGGATGTAAAAGAAATGTTTGTTTTTACTGAGTGAAGCAAACTAAGAATTAGATGCGTGTGCTATCTGTAAGGTGTTAAAAAAGACAAAGGAATCCCCAAAATGACTTTGAAATGATTATTGGACTTCTATGAGTAGTTTAAATTAAAAAAGAGCATTTCCATTTAAGTACCAGCTGCCTCTTTAGCAGGGGAAAATCAAAGTCCAACTACCTTTAAGCGCAAACAGACTTCAGCAGACAACATGAAAAATTTGGGGATTTTAACCTCTTTCCATCATGTAACCATGTCAAATGTTAATAAAATGTGTTATAGAGATAGTTTAAAATATCAGCAGTTATAAAATGKTTTTTGTTTTACTAAAACAGAAAATTTCTCAGCATAACAAGGCTTCACTTTGACTAAAATCACTAAAATCCATCTTTTGGTACACAAGATATTTCTCTGACAAAGTTATCACATAATAAGGCAAAAACATTATCTCTCTGGTGTCCATGTATCATCCCACAGGACATGCAGTAAACAAGACCTTGACCCACATTGATTAGAAACAGCTGCAGTTTACTATTATTATTATCCTGAGTGGTTTGATTACACAAGTTCTGATTACAACAGTATTTCATTTTTCCACACTGGTAAACATTTGATCTGATTGTTTCAGGTTTGCTGAAAATCTTTAAACAAAGAACCCACGAGCACCACTTCTGCAACCCGCAGCCACATGTCCACTGTCCACAACTAAATAAGCACAATTATGCCGACAATGGATGTAATGGAAAACCCATTGCTATTCTCAAAACACCTCCTCCTCCTTCTCCTTTCTTTTTTTGGCTCAAACAGTGCACAGTAGAAAAGGAGGAAAAATCGATCATGTGTCGGAGGCGCCTACCTCCCAGCACACTGAGGGTTATGGCCTCTGCATGTTCAGCCAGCAGATCCACCTTGGCTATGGCAGCCAGGGAGAGATAACTGGACATGTTCCTGCTCAGCCCCCTGTTCCCCCTCTGCAGGAAGCGCACCGCCACCGGGACAGCCAGCACCATGACCGACGGACAGCTGTAGTTCTGTAGGAGAAAGATGAGGCTCGGTTTTTAAGGTTGTATGTTTAGGAGAAAGGCAATGTTAAGGGGGTTTCTTAAAATGTGACCCAGTACTCTAAAATAACAAAAGGAATAACTTGTGCTCATAACGCACCCGGTTAGACCTGTCCAACTCTGTGACACCCAATAATAGTCAAAGTTCTAACTCCTTGAGATTTTTTGCTTTCTGCTTTTTCCTATTTTATGACATGAATGATGATTTCCAGGTACCTGCAAACCTGTTAGATGTGTAACCAGGAGAAAAATGTCACCATATTTTAAAGGGGGAGGTATGAAAAATTGACATTTTGAGCATTATACCATGTTATAATGTCATTCCCTAATCAAAACCATACCCAGAGTGTTGCTTCGACTCGTCCGTGTATGTTAGAGAAACCCTGGAATCTCCTGTTTGGAGCCGCCTAAACACTTGCTTCTACAAAGCACCGCCTGTTTATACAAAGCCCCTCCCTGTAGCTCAGTCTGCAGTCGAGTTCCCGCCCCACAGAGCACCCCTCCCCTGAAGCATTGTTGTTAAGATGTGCTGAAGTGGGAGTGTCAGTAACGGTAAGAGGTTCTTAAAGAGATAGCGGCCAATTTTAAGACATTTAGATGTAAAGTCTAATTTATTTTTGATATAAACAGCTTTCCTGAATTTCCTATAATTCAGCTTTCCCGAATTTCCCTGCACGGGACAATAAAGGCTGCTTCTATTCTATTCTATTCTATTCTATTCTATTCTATTCTATTCTATTCTCAGGACAACTGAAGGTTGAACCATGTGCCTCGAAAATATGTAATAAACCCCCTTTAAAAATTTAGGTAAAATCTTTTTGATAATATACTTTAGCTGCAGCAGCAGCAGAAAAGAAACTGACAATGATTAAGATTTGAGATTACATRCGTTACAACCTTTCACTCACACTTGCTGATATTATTGTATTATTTAAAATTTGCTTTTGTACAACAATGAAAAGAGTGTCTGAAAGATTAAACTAGGAACTATGACAAGCTCATATGACTAGCATGTATCATGGAGGAGGATAAAGTTTGGGCTACATTATATCATGGTCACAGGTTTGTGCTCTGATCTCTGGACTGAAGGAGGAACGAGTTATAAAATGCTCTGGTACCCCCCAGAGGACAATCTGACACACAACAGATGTTCACACTCGGTTTGTTGTGATTTCTAAACTCCACGCCCAAAACTATCATACCTGGTTGTAGTTCAGAATTCACCCAATATATTTAAATCCTATATTTGTTCTTAAAGTGTGAGAGAGGGAGATTACTTTGTCTGTACCATGCTTATAATCAGCCACATGATGGCAGTGCAGAGAGAACAAAACCGCTCCATTCCCACCAGACAATTCAATTTAATGTAGTCTGAATCATATTGCCTTTATTAGAAAACACTGTAAATTTAGTCAGAGCTTACAAAAATGATCACGATTTAACTGAATTGAATCAAACTAAGGTCCACATTTAACAACACGGTCATCAAAGTAAATCTCATCTGTCAGGCAGGAAAAAAAGATTCATTATAAGCTCAATATTTCTGTTCATGCTCACGTGTTGTAATAATCTTTATATATATAGTAT